AATTCTGGACGCTCGATTGGCTGCGGCCATATTCAGTCCTGTGCAACCGGACCTGACCTGACCTGACCTGGTGCAGTGCAAGTCAAGGTCGTTAGAGGTGGGAGTATGATTCGACCGAGGTTGTGTTTCGTTACTGTTCATCTTGATCTTCCGGATTCGGTCGTGATTATCACTCATTTTTGAAATACATGGTTATTTTTTGATTTCATTGACCAGTTTTCGTCATGAGCACTTTAGCGGATGTTAGTGCTATTCTGGAGGAAATGGGCTACAATGTTTACGATATAGAAAGAGCCTATATTGGAGGATACAAGACCGTGGAAGAAATTATTGAATTTTTTTCCTCTGGAGGCAGTTCTTTACATTTGGAGGAGAGTTCCAATCGACTGAAACTTCCGAGTGCCCAAAGAACTTATACTTCAGGTAGAAAACTCACTGTTCATGAAATTTTACTTCTACGTTATATATGTATGCTGCCGTTTGCACGGCTTGTTTTCTAGGTTCTGGCCTGAGGAACAATAAATGTTACTCAGATGTTTAGAGATTGCAGAAGAATAAGTCCTCTCAAAAAGTTATCGTGCCCACGGGCAAATCAAAAAACTTTTCCTTATAAAAAATATGCACCGTGAGTTTTTGCCGCGGTCTAAAATTAGATGTATGTAAAAAATAATATGATGTAAAAAGTTTTCAACAAAGAAAAATTATCTAGAAGTTTACAGTGAGACAGAAAATATTACTATTCTTGATCCTAATTCTCTGTGATTGCCTATTTTCCAAATCGTTCTCTTGTGTATCCCTATTTTCGTTCGGTTGGCAACAGGCTTTCTCGTAAACCGATCGCATCGGGGCTCATTCTGTGCACGGTTAACCAAAATGCTGTTTAACGTGCTTGTAACACATTTCTCTATCGCAAAGCGGCTTTCGACTGCGATGCTGCCTCGCTCTCAAGAACTTGATTTTAATATTACGGTACCTCTATAATAATACCCTCAATAATAATAGCCGAATTCGAGTCCGAGCATCATCATATTCATCGTACAGCGTAACACGGTCAAGCGAACTCCGTTGATCGCTGCCAAACTCACCTTGAATACAAAGTTAGTGACAAGATGTAAGGTGGATAGCGATTGGGTTTGTTTTGATGGAGGAGAAAGGGTAGTAAGCCTCCGTGGTCTTGACGTAATCTAACTGTGCATATGTACATTTTCAAGCATTCTGGTCTGGTAGTGAATGACAACAAAAACGCCACAGCTGTGGGTTCTTTGCCACCAACCTCCAAACAAGCAGTTGCGGAGTCTTATTCCCCAACCTGGCAAGCACGAGACACGCTACCTAATCTCTCTGTGCATTTCTTCATACTTCCTTTCCTCGTCCTCTGTTGACCTTCACGGGGTTTCTTCAGGCCCGGAGCGGCTACTGCGAATAAAGCGCGGTGTGGCAGACGACACCTGTGCATGTGCAATTCGTGACGTTTTCAGCAGAGCCTAATAATCTGATGTCAGTGAGCGCAACAGCGCTTGTTAGTCTGTCAAGTGCATTTTGCGCGTCCTCTATGTGTGTGATGTCCGATTTTCCTTTGAGATCAAGGAACACTGTGATGTTTGTTCGACGGCGCAGCTCTAGGATCTAATGCGATGTGAAAATATCAATAAATTCACTAGCAGGCAGGAGTCCGACTTCCTGTTCACGGATTTCGGTCTCTCTTGAAGGAGTCAGATGTCAAAGTGTGACGAAGGCTAACACTCTTGTGACGATTAGGATTAAACTTACCCCGCGTTGTTTTACACAGTTGTTGTTAGATCCCTTCGTGAAAATGGTGACGATTAGTAATTCGCACTAAAATGAAGGAATGCACTCTTGTGGTCAAATGTTATGCTGTAAATTCGCCATGAATCTTACGAGATTGGCATCCCCCATCTGGAAAAGACTAGACAGAAGGTCGTCTGATCCTGCTACCATCCACTGCCTCAGATTGAATACAAGATCGAGCATTCCCGGATACGGTTGCTACTTTCATTTCAGTAGTTTTTATTATCTATCAGTTTTTACGGTCCTTGAGGCTCTTCGTGAACTGACATTGCAGACGACACCTACCTTTGTTTTGATCACGGTATTTGGGGGATTTGCCGTTTTCTTTCGCCATCAGAGCTATCGATTTGGAAGATTTTCAATGCCTCGGACGAGTTTGAAGCTCAAACTCAAACTTACGAGCTAAGTAGATCGCATACTGCGCCTCGAACGATTCGACGATAAGCCTATCTCGCAAGACCCTACCGGGCAGTAGGATCATTGGTACAGACTTTCCTGAGTATCTTCAAGTAAGCGGAAACTAGGGATATGCTGATTTTTACACCTTGCCTATCAATACGCCGTCCATGGAAACGTGGTGGAAGCGAGGGCGATAGGCTTCCACCATGGCGCTTTTTGAACCCTTTAACACAAAGATCTTGTGAAAGCGTTCTACCTTTTCTTGGAAAAGATCTGGATTTGTGTGTTTACTGTTTGTAGTTTTAATGTTTAGTTTGACATTGGAGTAGGATTAAAATCGCAGATCTCAGAGACATGGTTCTCAATTACACAGTGAAAGAGCTATGCCAATTTGGTCTCGACTAATCTACCTAAACACCGTTATTATATCACTTCCCTGGGAAGTGGTTATGAACACTTCACTTTTTATGTTTCCTGTTATAGCTTTCAATCCTCGTCCTGTGTACGTGAATCTATCTGACATGCAATGGTCTGAACAAACCGGGGACACGAATTTACCCAGTTCGACCGGGGCATGTGCAGAGGAACCAAATGCGGAACCGGTGCAATCACGCATCAGCTCGACCAGTGTACAAGAGCGCTTCGAATTCGAACAGCGTGAAAGTAGAAAGCTGGCTGATGCGTTGAGAAAAGAGAAGCTGATGGAAGAACGGGAACGTGAACGCTTACGAGCGGAAATCGCAGCTGAGCGACAAGCCAGAATGTGAGTCTGTGTGCAGTAAACTTGTTGAAACCGCTTTCGTGATATCGCTTTCAGGTTATTGAGCCAGGCTCTTGCTCTCAATCGTGATCATTCCATGTAACTGTTTTGCCTTATAATACCTGACTTGCTTGTTGAAGTGTCACGCCTTTTCCGGTTTGCTTTATTATTTCGACACCAACTTTTTTGGGGCTTGATAGTGATATTATTTCGCTACGTGTCTGTGAGTTCGACTGATAATTGGTCTTTAAGTTTTCACAACACATTGTGCTGTGGTTTTGTAGGCTGAGTTATTCTTCGGTTTTCAATTTATCTCTGACTCCCGTATCATTTGACCCTTGGCAGCTGTATTTGATAAATAGTTGCAAAACTGTTCACATTCACCCACCTGAACGGCAGTTCGTTTCAACTTAACTGGTTACTTGTGCATCCATCCATTCGGATAACCCAGCCATATCCTAGCTCGCCTCAAAGGCACTTCAGCTTGGACAATGAAAAATCACATAGTTTCATACCATGTTATTTTTTTGTTTTGATAACGATGAATTATTTCTAAACACTAGATGCGTTTTTTAAAATCATCTATTACAGAAAGACCACAATTACTGCGAGTTGTTAACATTTTGTCTGTTGTCTTCATTGGCTTACGCAGAAGAAGGATCTGACATTTATAGGAAATTCACTACACTGAAGCCATGGTGATGATCAAGCAGATAAGGTCATTAGTCAACTTCCCCAATAACAACTATCTGATCGGTTTTGCCTTTCTTTGAAGCGCCAACTCACAACTTGCTTGAGATAGCGGAGAAACCGGCTGAACGCTATGAGCAAAGGAGTTGGAACCATCAGATAGGATCGAAAACACCTAGTGGCGGTTCCAAATAGTTGTATAGTAGATGTCACGCCACGTCATACGAATGTCTGGGTATCGGCTACCTTACTGTGCGGTATTTACAGACACTGCACTATGCCACTTCAAGTTCAATTTGAGAAATCGTCACCTTTCAATTGCGAAAGGAACGCTGTGATCGAATCCGCTTCCATTCAGCTCACCACGTCGGTCAATTGCTCACACGTCTTTTTATCCCCTGACTGACCACCTTTATTCTTACGCTGTTTCTGTGTTGAAATGAGTTAGATCTGTCTTGGATCTTGTGCCAGCTGACGGACGTCGATTCGGTGGATTGATGAAGCGGTGCGGTCTGCGCGAGACAGCTAAGTTGGACGCAATTCGCTGGGCACACAGGGTGACGCAATATTCCCTGCGTGCTACAGATAAGGAACAGCTAGTTATATTGGTTCAGACATTGGAACTTTGGCGCCAACGCCACAAAAAGACTAATAGATCACGGAATTGGGGGTTGGGGTTGGATTACAAAGCAGATTAAAACGGGGTCAGACAGTTGACGTGAATAACGAGAATAACCATTTATTGTTGTTTATTTCACCGTACACTTTTGATATAGCGCAAGCTAAGCACACGGAGCATCTCTTTCATGCTATCGGTTGATCGTGATCAATACGTTAATTCTATCAACGCCTGTTGCGCTTTAGCTTTGTTGGAATCGAGAGTGAGGGGACGCGAACTGCTTGCCACATATATATTTCACACACATCTGAATCCAGACTGTGTGCCAAACAAATCACGATACAATAATCTTTATGAAAAAGGAAAACGTTCCAGAAGTTGCATGTGGCCGGAATACTGCCAGGTTGCCCAGGCCAAGGTAGGTGAATTTTCTTGAGAAATCTACGACCGGAGCCTTTGTTTAACCAAAGCCTGATCCGCCAGGTAGGGGTGTACAAACCGTAATCCGTCGATGTCCGATGTTTAGTTCATCGGATCACATGCCCTTTGGACGGGGTCAAACGTCCAAGGTGCCCAATACACCTCAATGCCCCATCGAGCCGGTGATCACTGCCACAACCAGGAAGTTGTGTGTGTGGTTCGTACGCCTCCTCTTGGTTGGTTTGGAATCAGGATGTTTGGCCAACTCCCCTAAGTGAACTACCAGTGGTCCATCAACCCGGATCTCGGCTTGTCGTCCTCTCATTTGGTTGGAAAGCACCTCCGCCACGAGAGGGCAGTGAGTAGGGCTTCCTCATCAGAGGATATTTGAGACGCTTGGTTGTATCGGGGCATTTCGTGAGGTGCAAGGGGAGGTTGACCAACCGCAACCCCTAGACACCCACCCCCGACCATTCTGAGTTTGCCACGACAGCTCGAAACATCCGAACTTGACCATGCTTTCACTTCTACTTATTTGATTTCAATCCGATGATAACATACTATATTCTATCTGTGGCCTGTGATCGCTCCATTCCGTGTTCAGACTGGCACATCAATCCACGAGTTTGGCTCCCGTGACCACTGGCAGTTCTACTGTCAATTGTCCCCCGGACAATGTCGTATCCTCCGGACCCAGGGATAAAATCAAACTGAAGGTAAGCAAATTAAAAGGTGAACAAGTAAACGATTATACAAAGTGAACTTTGAGATATGTGGACATACCTGGGTATCCTGATGAGCATAAGAGTACTAATCATGCAAAACACATGCATCGAACTACTAAGTTGAACCATACATAACTGCTAGCACAATTGTTTGATGTGTGACACAATTGCTTTAAACAGAACCCACAAGTATTTTATTGACAACAAACCCAATATACATACAGTGGAGACTGATGTAAAGAGTTACACGCATGTGTTGAAGCATTTCGATCAATGCTTCCCTACGGTGCACAGACGTAACCGGGAACGGGGCTCAGATGGATTTTCGCAGTTCGAACATCGTCGTCCACACCTTAGTCTGGTTGGTCAAACGGAAAAGCCATACTGAGGTTAGGTGCAGAGTTTTAAGGGACCCCGGTAGCCGACTGGAGCGAGTGCTCATCATCTGCAGATCACTTTGGTTGGTGCGTGTATTAGACACGTCACCAAATAGTGCCATGGTACGCGATGCCTGCCGAGACAGGTGTTGGTTGGTAAAAAGTAAGAGGTGTGCAAATTAAGATCTGGTATGGGGGTTTGAAAACCCGGACCAGTAGACACCGTCGTATAGGTCCTGTTAGGCTCCGCGGATGGGGACCTAGGGATCCATGTAACCGATGGTTTAGAGACACTAAGTGATATGGTTGAGTGTAGCAAACAGTGGCACTCACATACCTCTATCTCGTTTCAGCCTTAGTCTGCCGGAATTTTTCTACTCACTCTGACACTGCTCTGAATATCTTTTCTTATCCCGTCAGACGGCCAAAACAGCTGCTTGAAGGTGCGGTATTGACTTAGCTTAGCTATATTTCTGCTTGATCTACACCACCACCACCACCACCCCATCAGCTCGTCATCTTATTTGTCCATCTCATTTCTCATCCGTTATCATTAATACTTGCAATTTTCTAATTCCTTGACTTGTTTGCACATTTTTGTAGAACACGAAAGTACAAAATGCTCATTGTCATTATTGATTCATTCGTTATTTGTTCGTTATTTCGATATGTTCTGTACAACTTCTGTTCGTTTCCTGCACCGCATGATTTTGTATCATTGTATTTCATATGTGCGGGATAATGGGCGGTGGTTAGGCGGGGTATGTTGATTGTCGCTTTCTCAATAGATCGCAAAATTAGAATTTAAGAGATTTTCACTTGATTAGCTTCCTTGCATACAGTGCCAAAGATATATCTAAACGGGAAGCATTTGCTACTTTCAGTTTCAATCTTCCTATGTTTCACGTACCGTTCTGTTTTAGTTCGTACAACCATTAACCACGCGCTTTCGTGCACCTGTTTTCGTCAGTCTTTTGGCTGCGTTTTTGGAAGAAAGGGTTTTTATACCCTTACGCCAGGTCCTAGTCTGATCACTTTGGGCTCTTTTTCACTCACCTGGCAAACATTGCATGCCGTATCAGTCCATCGCAGATGAACCCCGGGACAGCCAGAACGCACGGGTTCCACTCAGTTGACAATCGGGCTGGTCCTCAGACTGTTTCAGTTTATGATTGATGGCATTGTTTGTGTAACATAATTATTATCATATCATGTATATGTATATTGACGCTAAGAAAGTACCAATCTGCAAGATAAATACAGTTAGCGGTCATCAGTTCCTTCTAGTGAAAAAAGAAACTGGGGCACATGCATATTTTTATCTGGTGTGGGCAAACGGATGAAAAATATTTCTACCGGATGCGAGAGCACTCTTTCAGGTAGAAGCATATGGTTCAAAACATTGCTTACATTTTTACTGTACATTAATATTGCAGTTTTACTTAGCAATTTTGGATAAACAAGCAGGGGAAACAGTAGAAAACTGAATGCAGATACAGAGCGAAATTTAAATAAACTTACGAATGAATTACCAATATCGACCAGTGTCAGTGGAATCCTAATTTTGAAATAAACCTCTCATGCACGCCATTCAGGAAGAAGCAACGCCAGACTTTTGAACAATCGACTGATTGGAAGGCCGCTTTCGATCGAGGAAGATAGAGATGGTGGGTCTACGAAGGGAAAAAGTGAAAATCTCATCAATATGGCCTCGACCAGGTCAGAAACCATCCTGATTCTTACTCGTGCACCGTTTGCGTGCCGTAGACAGTCGACGGAGCATAATAGCAATAATAAATTTGGAGACAACGTTTATTAAATTGGTTTCTCTGTTGCTGTTTTCACATGGGCATCTCTCACCTTTCTTGTACGTTGGTAAGATGACCGATTCATCTCATGGTGGCGAAGATGTGCTGTTCATTGACGGAAATCGGCACCCTAAGCCCCGGGACTCCGAGTGGAAAACCACGTAAAACCCCACTAGATATTGGCGGTGGTGGCCAAGTGGTTAGGTCACCAACTAGTGACTTGGGTGTCCCGGGTTCAAACTGCTCCACCGCCACCCGTCTTCCCTATATCTGTATTTTCCCCAGGCAGCCTTTGTATGGCCGCAGCCCCCTTCCTGAAAGTTGATTGTACATTTGTATATTCAATAAATAGAAAAAGGAAGTAAAAAAACATTTGTTATTATTATTTTTTAGATTAGATGCAGTATTTAACTGGACGAGATGATGCTGATGTTCCACTCTTCGGTCAGAGCTGCCCGTTTAGCCGCATATGATCTGTCATTGTGGTAGGCTTGTTAAGGCGTTAGAACCCGTTCATAGATCAATGAGCAAGCATACAGTCAAGGACAGCTTTGAATTGGTAGAAATTTTGAACCAGATCAACGTGAAAGGAAAATACATGGCTTCCCTCGATGTCCAATCCCTGTTCACTAATGTACCAGTTCGTGTGGTCATACAAATTGTCTGCGATCATGTAGAGAAGGAACAAATTCGACTGTCTACCGGTGTCCGTCCTTGAGCGTCCACTACTGCTCTGCACAACCGACGTATCATTCTCTTTTCAAGGGAATGCGTACAGGCAAATCGATGGTGTCACTATGGGCAGCCCGCTAGGCCCAGTCCTGGCAGACTTGTTCATGGCACATCTGAAACAAAAAAGAACTATTATTCTCGGGCGTGCTATCCTGTACAAAAGATACGTCGACGACACCCTGGTTATAACAGAAAGCATAGAAGCAGCTACAATAATTCTGGATTACATCCAAATATTCGCTTCACCATGGAATCTGAATCCAGCAACACACTCCATTTCCTTAACATTAGCATGATCAGAAGAGAAGACGGAACGATTAATCAATCCGTTTATCGAAATTAAACCTCAACAGGCCAATATTTACAATTCGATAGTTTTATGTCCCTGAGGTATAACTGTGGTCTTGTTTGGACCTTATTTGACAGAAAAAGGCGAATCTCCATGGAGGGCAGAAGTGAACAAGAACCACAAACTCCTCCGGAGTTGTTAGCAAAAAGCGCTTACATCGAAGCGTTCGTTAATAAGCATAGCAAACCGAGAATTGCGAAAGAACCGATTGCGTCAGTTCCAGAGTTGCGGGCCACATTGTACCTTCAATTCAAAGGTGATGACTTAAGCCGCCTGCTCTACAAACGACTGAGGTCAGCGATCGCTCGAACTTACTTTGCAGCCGACCCCCAAATCGTCTACCGGACAACCAGGATACCCACACTCCCGGATAAAGAACGTCTGCCTCTGTACACCAACTCTAATCTGATCTTCCATTCCCAATGTGAGTGCGGAGCGACCTACGTGGGTAGAACAGCGACAATTAGGGTGGTGGAATCTATTCCAAACGGAGTCCAAAATCCGATGACTTGATCGAGGTCAAGTTCGCAGCGTAGAAACAACTGTCGAAACTACAGAACCCTGTCTCCAGCCTCTTGCTCGACATCTGCCGTTGACGCAATGCCAGATCGACTGAGGCACAGCTATTCGGATTGTCTACAAGTCAGAATTCGCAAGATTGCTAAAGTTTGCTGAAGCGATTGGTATTAATGGATCGAGGCCCCTCATTTGTCAGCAGAAAGAACTTTGTCTTAGTCTGTCTCAACCCTGATGGCATGGTCCCCTTACCCTTTCCCCTTTCTATGTTTTGTCTGTTTTTAACGTGTTTTGTTTTACTTTGTTACCATACTAAAGGCCTATATACACAGCATTTTCTGCAGTATGCATCATGTTGAGATGCAGCGAAATCGTCCTGAACATAAATCTTGCAGTATTGAAATGTGTTCTTTTCTTTTGAAATTAATCTCGGGAAAGGCTTACTTCAGACAAAACTTTGATGAAATTCTCTCGTTTCGTGTTTCAGTTTCTTTTTAAAATGTTAACCATATTTCATACAACTGTGATAATGTAAAAATCTTGTCGAGGCCATTGTATTGTCTTCGGGGTGTACTCTCGATATATTTTCTAAGAATTTCCCCATATGGCGATCATTGTACAAAAAAAGTAACCCGTGAATTCAAGGTCAGCTTAGGCTGTCCACGACCGAACTATGCCCGCAAAGCAAACAAGTTCATCCCATTTTTTCTTTCTTTCTCATTAGATCATCCTGTTTGATCGCACCCACGCACCGTGTTACATTGAATTGGACCAGTCGAATTCGTACGCAGACCTGTTGTCCCACATCCAGCCCAACTTGACCGCCAATCCTCCGGCACGGAATGTGCCTTCTGTGGACACTTTGTCTACATCAAATCCCTTTGTTCAAGCCCTGGATCAGCATTTGGTCAGTTTGAGCACCACTGATCCCTGTGTGCATTTGCTCGTGCAAACATGGCCTCGTCGAGAATTGACTCACCCTTGTGCCCGCACCCCGGAACCCGATCCGGAGATTATGACCCAGCGATTGACCGAGATGCAAATCACCAATGGGACTACAATTGCTGTCAGACATGGTAAGTTTGTTCTGCCTCATTTCTACCGAGACCTGTGTTATGATTTTTTTTACTGTGACTGGCTCCCTGGAAAGAATAAGTCGGCTCCAGACTCTAACCCTTAATAGTAACCTGTTGTCTAGAGTGACCTCAGCTAAATATCTGGGTGTTGCTATCGATAATAATCTTCGGTAGTCGACACAAATTCAGAACTGTATGGGAAAACTTCGACACCTCTCCTTTCAGCTCTGAAAGTTCAAACAATTTCGCACTTCCCAACAAGTTTTGTTCTCTTTTGTGAAACAATGCGTTCTCCCTATTTTACTTTACTGCTCCCCTGTAGTGTTTCCCGGTCTATTAAAACCAGCCTTTAAAACTATCTGTCGTGGATTGAAGCCGTGAGTCTTCAATTTCTGCCGAGTCATTAATCGCAGAACTTATTAATGGTTATATGAAGTCTTGTGACCTTTGCCAATAAGATTCTAAACGACCCTTCCCATCCTTTGCATCTTGAATTATCTTGTCGCTCCCACTCGATCACTCGTTCCTCTTATCGGTACCTACCGTCTCGAATAATATTTATAAAAAGCCTCAATGTACCGTATCCGGCTCGAATATTGACCAACAAGGAACGAGTTATAAATGAGTTACGTGAATCTTTAATTGACTGAATCAAGCTTCGGAGACACTTTTACACAGCACTGTATTGGATCTGTCTGTACTTATAAATTTTCTCAGGTGTGATGACCAGTGCACAATTTTTAACTGAGATGTAAGCGTTTCTCAGCTTTCAAAAGTTACTCAAATACAAAATACAAATGATCGTTAAGTTCCTTGGGAGTTTGGTACGAGAGACGACCCCAGCGTCACGCGGAGTTCATTATTTTGAGGGCGCACCTCTAGCCTTTACACAACCAAGTACGAACTGCAAAGCAAAAGGAAGTAATCCCTCGTCTCAGAAGTGAGTGGGGCCAATGACTTTAGTTTTAAAAGACGAATCACATCGACCTTTGTCAGGACACCATTATTGGGCTTATGCGGCTCTTAAACAGGAGCCAAGTGACCAGCCTAAAACCCACCACACCCTGGTAGTACCGTCACTGTTTGTTCGCGACTGTTTATTTGTTGCGATATGCCACAACTTATTCGCAACTAACCTCCCCCTATCCACAACCTGGGGACGCGCCTGGTAGCATTCAGCTCTGCTTAACCCGCGGGTATCCAGGGCTATGGAATTGTCCGGGCTTCAAGCGGGTTTTGTTTTCTGTTCTCTTAGTTCAGCTATCCGCACCCGTATACGTAAAATAGCATATGGGTTTAGACAAGTGTTAGCACTATGAATAGGCGCTGAATAACTTTTACCATCTTTAGGATTAATATTAGCAATCACTTACTACTGTTCTCTTTGTTCTACAGTGAATTGTGAATTTCAAACCAAAGTGATGGAACGAATAAGCGAGCTGAACGATTTACGTCCGCGCTCCGGGCCTGAATTTATCACTCCGGCTAGCCCACCGCCACCTCCACCAGCGCCAGTACCAGACCCGGATCCGCCCGGAGAAGACGAGCCCGAAGATTATCCAATGGAACCGGTTTTCCCGATCCAAAATCCACGCTTTCCCGGTCAAGGTCAACAACTTCGTCCTCAGGCACCGGATGGTGCTATACCCGCTAGTGCACTCAGTGTGCAAGAGAATGTTCGTAAGTTAAACTACTTTTTCTCGTCTGCTGTCTTGTCTCTTTCTTGATCGGGATTGGTCGACCTGATCTTTATCCAATGACCCGATTGTTGTTCAACTTTCGCGGTCGGATTGCCGATGAACGCGCGAAATGTCCAATATTATTCCGTCTACTTACCCGAAACTCACTTTCTCAGAATATTTTGCCTGCACTAGCTTGGAAATGTAAACTTATCGAGAGAGTTATTCTCTTGGTCATAAAGATGTTTTTTGTTGGTGCTGGGTAAGATAATCTTTAATCTCTTCTTTCAGAGGCGATTACTCTTCCTCCTTCATCCTGTCTTACTGTTACTTCTGAGTGACTAGCTCCTGTGGGAAGACAAGTCGGCTTCTTGGATGTTTCTAATGATAGTGACCCATGCGTGACGGTCGACCGAAAGGCTATCGCAATGTGGGACTTAGTTCTGGTTTGAATTCCACGAATTCCATTTACGGATTGGAGGTCCAGTAATTCCAAATCCGCCTTGATCTTGCTGCTCGCGGTCTTCAGATGACCACCGAGTTGGCAACGCCACCCACGGCAGGGTGCAAAGGCTGCAGCCTGCCGCGCGAGTTGAGTCTCGGGCCTGTTCTATCGCGGTAAATTGTTTCATTAAACACAACCCATTCTCCCGACCCTGTTCACTTCCTCTATACTGTCCGCTTTTCCATTTTCCCAGTATGTACCTTAATTATCCGTTCTGTCAGAGGCCCAAGTGATAAAGCTGATGATATCGTCCATGAACTAATTGCCCTACTCCTATTACTTATTTATTTATCTATTTCAACAGGTAGACAACTGAATAGAACTGCCAAATGTGCCACAATATGTAAAGAAAAAATCTGTAGAATATGTTCGTATTACTCCATACTTTCCAAGATACGGAAGAGTATATCACAAATTACCCACGGATTCGCAACTCCGAACCTTTGAATTCCACGAATGTCGTTTGCTAGAAGCGTACGCGTTACAACAACGGTGTCTGCTCTGATCTGTTTGCGCGCATGATGATAAATCTTGCTCCTGACACCTCCGTGCTATCTTTAACCAAAATCTCACTTGATCTGAACATGGTATTTTCATTTCTACCAAATTAATAACGTCTTCTTATTGTGTTCTTCAACTTTAGTCGTATTTTAAATGTCTCTCTCACGTGATCAAACGGGTTGCGTTTCGCCTCTTCTGTCATATGCTGCCCCCTCATCATCTTCACAGTGTGTAGATCCCTTAAAACTGTAGCTCTCTCACACACAACTAACAGTCACTTACCAGCGTTTCCAGGTGTGCAAAAGTCTTTTCGAAACAAAAAAGTGGTTAACATCTCTGCACTGCTTCAAGCAAATCTTTATCCGTATCAATTAGCCGTTCCCTGTCGCGCATCTGCATACAAATTCTATGTCACATCTCACCGTTCTCTGCGGACCAAAACCCAGATATGCACAACGGAGAAGCGAAAGCAACTGTGCTTATTTTGTCTGTTTGCACGTTTCACCGTTCCAGTGATGTCGCGTGTGTTGCATGCACGAAGTAACTCCCGGGCTTGACTATATTCCAGTAAAAAAAAATAAGCAGAAACACCACTATTGCACCGCATGCTATAAACACCAAAATAGCAGTTGAATGACGCAACTGCGTTGGCGCTATACGTCACCGGTGAGCCAATCACAGATTTGAGTATAATGTAATATGTTGAAATTCAGAGTGCGCCAACAGATAGTTTAGCAAGAACCTAAAGTGAAAACAAGATGCTGAATGTCAGTGAATTTCACGAGCCAATCGGTAATGGGGATCATAACGACTGATCTTCCACTGTTAAACACACAAGCGTGTCTAATAAAGGGACAGGTGTTACGCTATCACCAAGTAGATTGCCACGGCGTGTGATGTTTGTCCAGGCATGTAGTTAATTGAAAAAACGTCACTGGCGATCAAACTAGGATCTGCCATGAGAGTAGGCGAACTCTGACCGGAATTCTCGGTCATATAGGTCGTGTTAGGCTTCCTGTTTAGGTACCTCGGGTTTCGTGTAACCCGTTTAACTGAGTGAGACAGTTAAACATGTTCTGTATCCTAATCCACCTATCCCCTTTCACTGTCGTTGTTGTTGCGTTGGCACCATGCTTGTTTTCAAGCCGGTGGTAAATATATATATATATATATATATATATATATATNTATTTAACTGAGTGACATGTCTGTGTGCCACAAACAGTAGGGATCGTGTATCTACTTAATTTCCTTGCAACATTAGTGCACCGAATTTCTCCATTTTCATCTAGACACCGTTTTTAATGAGTTAATCTTCCCTCTACTCCGTCCTTTCGTTGGACAGTCCGAGACCGTAGCGGAAACCAGCTGGTTGATGGTTCCAGGCACTGAATCTGGTGTCTAATAAAATAGTTTGGTTTGTTCGGCACATGCGTGTTTGGTTAACTTGATTCTCGTACATATATATGTCCTTTATCTCTGTGATCTTGTTTTGTTCATGAAATTCTTTTTATCGTATCGAGATAGCTTGTCACACAGCATTGAAAAGCTAACCAACTTTTTCATTCCACATGACATATCCATCAAATCCTGGAGGAGATGAACCCGGAGACACTGGGGTTTGTTTGTCATATGGGCTTGGACAGATTGCTACTTGTGAGCACCACATAATGTATCGACATTAACGGACAAAGCGTTTTTTCTTTCTTCAGAAAAAGTGACATGTAAATTAGGTTTAGGTCAGAAGATAGCCACTCGGGTGATCGGGACTGTTTTCACATGGCTTTTTTTTGTATATCCCTCTGGTTCTCTCCCATCCTTGTAGGTCGTGCGGCTTTGAACTTGGAGGAAAGACTACGCTCCACAACTGCCACACCCACTGCTCCCTCTGATCCGGCCTCGGAATGCTCCTCGTGGGCACAGGTTCCCACATTGGTGAAACTGTGCTTGCACTCGATTCACACATGGGTCACTCAGTACGCGGATGCGTTAAGCGCAGCTCGTTTGGGCCTGATACACGAGACCACTTCTCGTACCACCGCGACAACCGGTACACGATACGGGCTTACCGTGAAACAGTCAGATCAGGCGTCAATTGACCAACGGCGGATGGAGCATTGGGTTGCACATCATCTGTCCGGTATGAGATGGCCCAATGTTCTTGGTCAACAATTAGTACGGTCACTGATGGATGAGAAATGTTTCACGGCCCGCACGGCGGTTCTCCTGCGCAAGTAAGTCTCCCACCCCACTCGGGTCGTCGATATTCAGTACTAATTTTTCACCAGACTGATGTTCTTTTTTAGTCACATTATTCAAATTTCCGAAATCGTCGATCGAACGTGACATCTGATCGCACAGTCGCGTGCAGGCGCGTCCCAATAACCATGTTCGGTAGTAGTGCTCGGTTTCTCTGATTGGAAACCCCGAAAAACATGGCTGATAACCGGAACCATTAGCAAAACTGTTCAATCTTCTATTGTTTATCAACATCCTTACTAACAACTGAAAATGGTGTGTAACCGA